ACACAATACCAGAATAACAAAGGTCTTCTATTGGAGGTCTTCTATTCCAATTCCCTCCTCAAGCAGGAAACCTATACCATTTCAGACAAATAAATAAGTAAATAAATAATATAAAGTAAATAAGTATATGAGCAAATCATTTGCTAGGGGAAATACCGGTGCTATTCTCCTCTTCCCGATAGTTACTTTCCTGAAGCTATTGTCAATCTTTTAATGCAGAGACGGGCAACATTGTGCCAAAGACACATTGGACTAATTCCCATTAACCTCAACTAGTACAGCCAATGGCAAATGGAGTAGCTTCCAAAAACATCCAGAGGGCACCAGAGTATCTTTTCTTATTTTAACCTGAAGTCCTTTCTTCTGCCAGTATCAGCTGATAAGGCACAATCCATATTCAGTAAGTGTGTCAGTTTTTGGTCATGGTACAGTATGTCACCCACCTACCCACCCACCTTTATCCTGCTTGTCATCTTTTTAAACATAGGCAAGAACTTTGCTGCAAATCTTTGTTCACTGAAACTGAACCCATAATTAGCCAGTGAGATCATTTTTTAGTTCAGGTCAGTGGCTAAAGCATGGCTTTGTGCATTAGATTCTGAGCATGGGACAGAAATGTCATAAACAAAATACTATGGACGCTCTATAAAAGGAACTGCAGGCTTCTACTGCAGGAGCACATTGTGCTCTTTTCACACCCTCCTCTTGGGCTTGAGAGCGGAGCGTAACTTGAAACTATATTAAAACAACTCTGTTTTTGGGAAGGACATTATTATTTTTCATAGGTTTAATACAACCCTTCCACTCTGGCTGGGAATAATGGAGTTACAGTCCAACACATCTAAAGGACACTTTGTCCTCTAGACATGATCTAGACCAGTTGGCTTCTTGTTTAGACAGTGCTTGATCAATGGTGAAAACTTGCACTTTTCACTTAATGAGAGGAACTATTATTTGTTGTGCTTTCTTCTTACAATGGTGTGTTTGTTCTGCTTCATTTGTTAGCATATGCTCAGGGCTGGAATGTTTTTTCAGCAGTCTGTCTTAAGAATGCTTCCTGAACAGAACATTAATAGGTCTATTCCCCATCATTCTGTTTTAACTCTTATCTTCCATCACTCCTATGCTTTATTATGCTACCAATGTGAAGACAATAGCAACTTAACTAAAAGAAGTAAAGGATTTAGAGATCTCATACCACTACAAAACTCCAAAGAGAGTCTGAATCTTCTTAAAAGAGAAAAGTTACTCTATTGCCACACTGCTCTCTAGTGGCAGATGGAACTTTCTGAAGAGCGGAGAAAAATAGTTGGTTACACAATGGGTGGCCATATAAGTTTTAAATAAATAAAAAATACATATTTGTTAAAAGAAAACTGCACTAAATTAGCTATTCTCTAGCCCTCAACAACAGACAAAATGCAAAATGTTTCACAATACTTCATTTCTTTGGTTTTTCTAACAAAGGGCATTTTCCCAAAATAGGAAATTAGCCACTAGGCCACAAAGTGGAGGTATCTCTTGCATGAAACGTTTTGTATGTTATCATGGCCAGAGAACAGATGGCCAGAGAGTGGCTAATTTAGTGTAATTTTCTTTTAGACAATGTTCAATTTTGGAAGTACAGAAATTGATTTAGCTTCTATTGCTAAAACTGGCATACTATACGAACAAGGGTATTTAGTTTTCTGAACTTTGGTTGTGGAAATAACATATAAAATCCAATACAGAGAAAAACGTGGCACCTGGAAAAAGTGGAATGGTTTTGGTAGTTTGACTTTATTTCTTCAAGTTAATGAAAAAATAAAGTTTTCATGATCATTTAAAAGTTATCAATTTTTTTCTATGTCAAAATAGATATATAAATGAAACTTGCCAGTTCTGCGTCTAGTTACTAAAAAAAGGGTATCTCAAATAAATAAGGAAAATGATTTGTAGTTGAATAGGGAAACTATTTTTTTTTCTTGCTTCATTGTCTTTCTGGTAGAGTGGCGCAATTGGTACAATCTAAATCACCTTAAATAAATCCAACTTTCATGCCTGTTAGCTATTCCCACCAGTATACAAATCGGTAGTGCTTAGTAGTCATACCATCACTTTATTGTATTTATTACATTTTCAATAATCATATTTTAAGAATAATTTCCTGTACATATACTGTATATTTGCACTGTCCCTGCACACATACTATGTCCATCATGCATTCAAATTCTGACCTATATTAAAGTCATTCTAAAGGAAACAAATGAGACATGTACTGTATTTCATGGATTTTTGGAATAAAGGTTTTAAAATGGTAGGGAAAATCCTGTTAAAACATTTTTAAAAGCATTACTTAATGAATGTATCAGGAAGTGAGCATTATGTAAGCATCTATGTGTTCATATTCTATTTGATATATACTGGACTTTTGGTCACATTTTCTCTAGGCCAGCAAAGTCTTGCAAAAAGTCTCCCAAGTCTATTGAGAAACAGCTAATATGTATATTAAACTGGTGCAGCTTTATGAAGAAGCAACAAGAAAAGACCTAGATCATGGATGGGCAATGTTTGAGGATCCTAGGGCCAAGCCATGCCTTGTAAGCTGCACTTGCAGAAAATAAAAACACACATGCTTAGATATACCTGTGCCCTCAAATACTTCCACATACTGGTCAACTGTAAAATCTTTTCTCTCAGCAAAAATATGACACATCTTAATTCTGCTTGCATTGGCAATAAGAACTTGCAGGGATTTTAAGTGCAATATTCATTTGATTGGTTTGTTACTTGGGATGCGAAACAGCCCTTGTATAAATATTGCTATACAAGGAATATCCTTCTGGTTGAGGCTGCTGGAATTGTTTCAACATATTAAGGCTCTAAATTCTGCACCATGGCCCTGGACAGAAGTATTTAGCTAGATATGCATTCTTCTGTACCAAATAATTCTGGTTAAGCTGCTGTAGGATTATAGAATTAAATGTGATATATGCTAATCTCTGTAGAAGATCAGGCCATGTGTAAAGCAAATCAGATATGGCTCAAGGAGCGCATTTCACATTTACCAACTGGTGCCCTTCAGATGTGCTTGGGTATAGTTCTTGTTAGCCCTAGTCAGTATCACTAATGGTAATGGAATTCTTCTGAATATGTGAAATATAAATTAAGACATAGAAGAGTAGGGTGTACTATTGGATTTTTCTATCTTGAACTGGCCCCAAATCTAGTTTATTACCTATAAAATATTAGGAAATATATATTCAGGGTCAATTCATTATTCTTTCGCACTTAAATCAAGCAAGTTTTTTTTTCCACAAAAAGTAACAACTAAAATAAAAACAACTCAGGTTTCTAACCAGGCAAGTATAAAGCACCAAAAAGCAAATCCTCCCATGATAGATATCCCTAGAAAGAAGCTTGAATTAACAATTTCTTATTTAGACTAATTTTTATAATAAACCCAATGTGACCTTTAAATTTTATTATGAGCTGTAACAATTCCAAAATAATTCACTTTTAAATTAAAAAAGTATAATATTCCTAAAAACACTGCTAAAGTGACTTTCTCTTCCCAAACACAATTCACCGGAAAGCCAAAGCTAAGTTGTTTTTACTAAGAAGATACAAAGTGGAAAGTGAAATTCTGACTTCTACTGCTTGGCATTTTTCCCCGGTTGAACAGATTAACCAATTATGCAGTTATTTTATCTAAAACAATAAAATATCTACATCTTCCTGAAGCAAGAAACCCAAGTCTAGCTGGTCAAGAATCTCCTTTTAAGGTTCCAGTTTGCCCAGCATTAGCTCCATGTGTTACTACTAAGGTAAGAAATAATCTGATGTAGGTGGGTAAAATGCTTGTCTTCCCCTAAAATAAATACTTTATTTATGCAAAGAGATATCTAAATGCACTGACTTGTCAGAAAGGAGTCTGTAGGGTAGAAATGAAGGAATATGAATTGCAAAGAAAAGTAAGCACACAATAAATTAACAGAGACAGTGTACTGATCCTCACAGTTCACATCATAAAAGCAATGTAACGTATCTATCTACATAAGAAACCACTGGAAGTGAACTGCAATCTACTTTAATGTATCAAATCTCTATAACTTTCAATATCACTGAAGCTCCTCTGGCTCTATTTTATATGAGACTGCATACCAAAATGGAATGGAATAAAACTTCCTGTGTCAAGCTGGCCAAATAAGGTGTAGCACAGTGGTTCTCAACTTTTAATGCCGCGACCCCAACCGGTCGTAAGTCGAGGACTAAACCGGCCGTAAGTCAAGGACTAAACCGGTTGTAAGTCGAGGACTAAACCGGTCGTAAGTCGAGGACTACCCGACCGGTCGTAAGTCGAGGACTTTCCCTGCCCGAGAGCACCGCGCATGCGTGGTTCCGCCCCCTGCGCTGGCCGAGGCGTAGCTGGCAAGCGGCAGAGACGGAGCAGGCCGACCACCAGCTGGCCCAGCCCAAGGGAGGTAAGGCACCCGCCGGAAAAGGGGAAAAAAATGGCGGACAAAAAAATGGCGGACAGCCTTGCTTGGCGACCCCCATGAAATGGTCGATCGACCCCAAATGGGGTCCCAACCCACAGGTTGAGAACCACTGGTGTAGCAGAACAATAGTTCTGATGCAACAGAATATTAAAGAGATTTGGTGGGAGATGTGAAAGGAGTCAAAATGGAAATGAAAGTATTACTTTCGTAGCCAATACTATTTTCAGCAAGAACTCAATTTTGAGAACTATAACAAGTTAACCTTTCATTTCTTCCTTTTTTCTGGGGGTAATAAAATATTGATCTGGAGGGAAATTATCATTTTTAATTAAAAAGATGTTACTGGTGTATGTACCACAATATATACTTTAGCCTACTTTGCATGTGGTCTTGTTCTATTTTGGAGAAGAGAAATTCAGTGAATTAGACCTTTACATATCATGCTTTATGCATAAAAGCCTCTAACTCTAAGCATAGAACTTTCTGAAGATCAGGAACCAGGGAAAGACAAACTGTCCGTACTTCCAGAAATCTAGTTTTATTAATAGGCATAAAAATTCATCCTTTGATGGAGTACAAGATAAGCCTCCACAGGATTCATGATTAAGGAATAAAACAGTCCGAACTTACTCCACTGATCAAGTCTCAACTCTTTATTGAATGGCTTCTTGGTCACATTAATGCTACTCAGTCTAGGAAGAGAAGGAAAGAGAACCTGCTTGCTGTTATTTATGGGGTCATTATGGGGTCATTCATGAATGTAATTAGAACTATGCTGTGAGTTCTCCTTTCCTTGGGTCATTTTTCATACGTGAGCAATGCCAAATAAACAACTGTGATTACAGAATGGGCAGATGAGAATGAGAGTGTGTGACATGGTTTCGCACATTATACTCATAATGTGATTTATTTGAATTTTGGCGTAGTATATTATGTGAACCCAGTTTAAGGTCCACATTAATCTTTGTGAGCTGCAGTACATTTGGAAGTTTGAGAAGAGTTTACAGGTGCTCCCACAAATTGCTGCAATGGTGGACACAGGCAGTCATTTAACAGAAGGCAAACTGGCAAGATTGTGTCCCATCACTATAAAACCTACATGGTGGTACTTTGCATCATTTTACTTCTCATTTTGTTTTTATTTTACAGAAAATAAAATCAGGGCATGTAACATGAGGTTGCTAAGCATATTGAACCCATAAATATTAATCATGATTTGTGGCTTAATAACATGAATGCAGCCAATTATTCAGCAAATCATAGTTACATGAAATCTGGCTAAAAATAACATAGGAACCTAGCCAGAGATTCAGATACCTTCATTTAGTGTACCTAAAAGGTAAGCTAATCTATATCAGCACTAAGCTTCCCAGTGGAACAAACAAACTATCATTAAAACAGCTCTGCTGTTTGCAATTTGCTTCTTGCTGATTTTACCATAGAAACCAGGAATGTCAAAAGTTCCATGATAGCCCATGGTTAGCTGTTATACTAGAGATTTGAACAGGCCACAACTCCCTATACTCTGTTCTCCTTTCAGACAGTTCCTATACTTCACTCAGAATGCTTTTTCATTGTTAAAAAATACCCTGTAGTATTATTATTATTACTATTACTGTGTGATTATATAAAGTGGACTTTAAACTTCTCAATACCAATACTCTCTCAAGACGGATTCTTCATTTTACTTTAAGGTAATGCAATCAATCTACCTTCTACACAAAGTAAAACATTAATATATTGATGAAGAATATGAAGAGGAAAGTCATCAATAATAATTCTATGCTCCAAATGATCTGGGTGAACTCGGCTCTGAATATGTGCAAGTAGGTTCAGGCTGCATAGATCCTAATACCTGAAGCATTAATAGTCTGAAGAATCAGCTGTGAAGTTCCAGGGGAAATTAGCAAAACTGGTTTGTTTGTTTTTTAGTGTATCCTTTGAAAAAGATATGGAATTAAGTGTAAAATTCACAAGGTTTTATCCACTGAAAATTGGCCTGCTGCCCATGGAAGTGCTTAAACAGGATCTCCATTATTCTTAAATATATAACTGATGAGCTGCAAGGGTATCCATGAAAGGTTGCACAAGATAATCTGTTGAGAAGTAGAAGATCAGGCCAAAAGTGATGGAGATGGGAAGAGCAGGTAGTGCCTTCTTAAAGACTGCAAGCAATAGAAGAGTTAAGCACAGACCCTAAGATGAAAGAAAAGGAACATGATCAGCAGGAATATACCTAGCAGGAACATTTTTCATACAGATAAATATTAAAAATATTAATATCCTGTGATACTTTTTGAGTGTTGCCCAGAAAGATACAACAAGAAATGAATTAAAAATTATTTCATCTGAAGATAGTGATTCGTATCTTTGCTATTACTCTGCTGGATTCCTGCAAGTTGGCCTACATGGCCAACTACCATGAAGATGATCCAAAGTCTACAGCTAGTACAAATTGTAGCTGCTGGATTGCTGATCCATAGAAATGGGTTTAACAAAACAAAACGGGTTTAATTCCTCCTCATGTTATAGGAGCTGCACTGGTGGCTGATCAACTTCTGGGCCTAATTCAAGGTTCGGGCAGCATACAGATAGTGGTATAACTAACTAAACAATAGGATTTGTACATTAACATTTCACTTGCTTTGCTGCCTTTGAATATCTTGGAAGAGGAATTTCTGGTAGCAGTGCCTATTTGGCTACTTTAGTTGAATACTTGAGGAAATTGAAACAATTACACAATAATCATTAATTATTGTGTAATTTTATTGTCTACCTCTTTCAGATATATATTGCAATATAACATTTACTTGTTAACAGCAATACAGCCAGATTTACAACTGCAAAACTGTGGAAAACCTTTGCTTCAGCAGTATTCAGTTTTTAGTAGTATTTAAAACTGGGAGAAACAGCACTGGGTGAAAAATTCACACAAAAGAAAAAATCCTTAAGAATCTTTAATATTTAATAGAAATATAGAATATGGATGCTGAATTTTTTCTAAGTTTGCTTAAAATTACAAATGAGTATATATTCCCAAACTATACATTCTTCTGTTCTTGCTTCTGTGTAGTTTGTTTTTAATTTGGGGCATGTTTACTATCTGGTTGAGTACCAAATATTTAAATAAATATTTAAACCTGTGTTAAATGTGCATTTAAACAATGGCTGGCTGGGAAATTTGGGAAGTAGAGGTCCAGATATCTTAGAGTTGCTAAGGTTTTAAATAGTTAAAAAAGTTAAAAAAGAAAATAATGTTTAGGTTATCATCACCTTTCTGATCTTAATACTAAAAACTAAACAGAATGTCATATCACCCTAAAAATGATATTCAAAAATCCACTCATTATCATTTGAGTAAGCCCCCCAATTAAGTCTGATCCCAACCATATTGGGACTCACTCTTCAGTCTCAGGTGCTCAAATGTCTAGGACCCAATGCTGATAATCCATGCTGTTATCCTAGTTTTATTGTATGTCAAAGGACAAAGCAGAAGAATAGGTATTTAAATCATATCTGTCTTTTTCCCATGTAAAAAAATAATCCCAGAGCAGGTCACAATTGTGAAATAATTCTTATCCTCAGGTTTACACTCAAAAGGAAACACGGCAGGGAAAGAAACTGAAAGTACAATGGAATTGGCTTACTGTGTTAATTTTACTTACTATGAGGATGGCTACAAAACAAGCCAATGTTGTATTCCAGTCCCCACTAGCAGTGGCAGCTGCTTTGCCAACAAGCACGCTATAGAAGATAAAGTCTCCTAGACCCAGCTTGACTCCTCCTGTTAGAAGTAAACATAATTCCATCAGATAGCTGCATCTGTCTTCCAATACACATTTTAAGTTATATTTTAAGCAGACATGACATTTATGAACATGAAAGGGTGCTCAGAAACTTTCTTTTGTACACCAAATCTTCGGCCTTTTAAAAATAAGACCTCTTTTATTTTTATAGGTGCTGATTACCTCTTGTAAAGATCTACATGGCATAAGATCAGACTCTTTGTGAGTCCACCTGTCCCCCATTGTTTCTGCCCACCTACCAGGTTTCTGCCCACCCACCAAGAAAGGGCATGCTCTGTGTTCCCTCCATCAAACAATGCCATCTTCTTGGACCCTGGAGACCTGCTTTCTCTGTGCCACACCCACCTTGTAGAAAAGCATCACTCCAAAGATCAGATAACCCCAACATTTTCAGTCTTTCATAAGGCTTGGAAGACCTGACTGTTCCTCCAGACTTTTGTCCAGGAACGTGGACAATATCTGTGAGGTTTTTGGTGCTCTCTGAGCTTGGTGGTTTTCTTGCAGACATTTCATTATCGAGTCAGGTAACATCATCAATGCTAAAAAGGAGTGGGGAGAACTGTGAGCCTCTAGACCAGGGGTAGTCAACCTTGGCTCTTTTATGACTCGTGGACTTCAACTCCCAGAATTCCTGAGCCAGCTAAGCTGGCTCAGGAATTCTGGGAATTGAAGTCCACGAGTCATAAAAGAGCCAAGGTTGACTACCCCTGCTCTAGATCAAGCTAAGTCCAAAAACACTAGGGAATTCCTGGACGTCTGGCATTCAGACAAATCAGCCACCAACAAGCACAAAGAGATAAACAACATCTACAGTACATTGAAAAGAGACAATCAAAAAGCTAAAAAGGAAACCTCCTTGCCAGAAATCAACATCCAGATAAGCAAAGACTAACACCAAGATTAATACTAGACCAGGGGTAGGCAACCTTGGCTCTTTTATGACTCGTGGACTTCAACTCCCAGAATTCCTGAGTCAGCATGGCTGGTTCAGGAATTCTGGGAGTTGAATTCCACGAGTCATAAAAGATCCAAAGTTGCCTACCCCTGTAACTAGACCAACAATCAAGTAGTAAACAATTCCCTAATCAAGAAACAACTCAGACAAACAATCATACAGTCAACTAATCAAGGAATCACCAAGAACACTTCCATCAACATTTATAACATAAGAGCAAACCGGGCTCCCTTGTAGCACTGATGATGTTATCTAGTTGGGTAATGAAACATCTGCAAGAAAACAACCAAGCTCAAAGAGCACCAAAAGGACCACACTTCAACTCAGATCTACAAATATTTTTCCATTGGTAACAATATCTGTTGGTAATGTGATTTTATTTGAGAGTTATTATGTAACCAAGACCTCATGAGTTTATACAGTTATAACAAATAAATAAATAAATAAATAAGGAGGAGGAGGAGGAGGAGGAAGAGGAAGAGGAAGAGGGAGGAGAAGGAGGAGGAGGAGGAGGAGGAGGAGGAGGAGGAGGAAGAAGAAGAAGAAGAAGAAGAAGAAGAAGAAGAAGAAGAAGAAGAAGAAGAAGAAGAAGAAGNTGGGCCAGCAGTTTGACATGCCTGCACTAGCAGATCTTAACATTTAAATGAGTCCTCATCCCAAAAAGATTATATACCCCATGTTACAAGGTAATGTTTTAGTTATTTCCTACATACAGTGTAGCATTTCTTTGTGGCTCCCACTTAAGAGCGCCAAAGCATATGAAATGGCCAACATTTTATTTCTGCCTTAAGGTAAAGAAGCACCCAATGTTCCTGCATTTTGTAACTATAACCACAAGGTAAATTCAGGGCCAAAATGAATGAATAAACAGAACTAATCTCAAGCAGGTGTGCTGTAATCCAGGACTTCCCTAGGACTTTTCACAAATGGTACATGTCAAAAACAAAACAAAGGATGGCAAGATTCTTTCATGCTCAAAATCCTAGCTCTTTCTCTGATATCTTCATTTAAAGGCGCAACTGAAGAAAACTCCTATACAACAGCAAATGACTCTTCACTGTATAAATCAATTAAATACTTCTTTTTAGATAGCTGTTCCTATTTTAAAGCAGGGGTCCTCAACCTTGGCAACTTTAAGACTTGTGGACTTCAACTCCCAGAATTCCTCAGCCAGCAAAGAATTCTGGGAGTTGAAGTCCACAAGTCTTAAAGTTGTCAAGGTTTTAAAGGATTAACAATAGTGAGTTTTTAATTTAAGTGACTACAGCTTACTTTCTTCCTCCTCCTGGCTTTCCTCAAAGTTGCAGGCAATTTGACCAAGTTGTTGGCCAGTTTGATCAATAGTTGAGTTTCTCATTTCTGGAACTTCACGCTCAGCATATGAAGAACTGTCATGGATCTCTGCTTCTTCAGTCAATTTGAGGCATAACAATGAAACATAAGCAAAAAACAAGAAAATCAATTTACATATATATTACATTTTAAGAAAAAACCTTGTTAGAATAGAAGTCCTCTCTGTTGTAACAGGACTGTGCAATAATATTGATGTAAACCAGTTGTCATGGAGAAGATAACTGATTTGTTCTCCGATGTGGTAGAGCTGGGGTGTAGAATTTACAGTTTTCCTAATGTTGTTTACAAGGTTCACAAATTCATATGACTAGTCACGCTGGATCTGAATCTTACAACCAAATAAACTACTCTCAAATAAAGCTTGGCAAAATCTTTTTTCTGTACATAAATTGTCAAAGAATTCAGAACATTCTTCAGTCAGTAATTGAACTAACTCTTTCAATGCAGAGATTTCTAATGCAGTTCCCATATAATTCTCATGGAAGCTTCCCTTTATAATTAGCTTGCAATAAGCAAGAAATCCAGTGAATATAATACATTGCAGATTCCCTTTCAATTTTATTTAACAATAAAAGAATGACCCTTGTTATTTAACAATAAAAGAATGACCCTTGTTATATCAAGGGCATCAATTACCTGGATTCCCTATCTCCTGAGAAGTCCTTCTCTGTGCATTGTCTGGCTTTGCCATTCCAATTGTCCACATCATAGCAGCTTAAGGAAAGAACAAACAACATATGAACCTATGAAACAAGACTGATGGATTGTTCAAAGTTACAATGTACAGTATAATCAGAAGCCCACCCTACATTTCTCAATTGTGATATAGTAAGAAAATGTGTCAATGCTACAGATACTTGCATTTGCCTATCAGTACACAATGTTCCGTGTGCCTTGACATATAGTCATGCTGCCCACATAACCATAGAAACTTTCCTTTTTAAAAGAATGCTGAGATAATCAGGAAGTTAAATTTTATATCTATTTCCACGATTTGGGAATATCCAACAATACCTCTGAACAGGATAGAATTTCTATTTTCCTTCTTTTTCATTCCGAAATAATATTTTCAGTTAATAAGGCATCACTAGTTGCTACAACCGGGGTAATCCTATGAAGGCCAGTCACAGAAAAGAAACCTGTATTCTACTCACAGGAATAAATAAGTGCAGGAAATATTGGCTCATTTCTCTCTTGTGCTGTTTCCACCAACATTCGGAGGGGTCCCTTTGGACATAAAACTGCTATCAAGTCTGTGGACAGGAAAATGTCAATTTAATCCCAAGTAGCGTTCTGAACATCTAATTTTCCTGCTGCTACAGGGCATGGAGTTCTTTCAAACTTTTCTCAAAAGGTACTTATAGCTTCACTAATAATAGCAGTAAAATAGAATACAATACACAAAGAAAACATTCTGAATCTTGGAGAGCTTTCTTTTTGAAATAAGAGAGAAGATAAACACAATTTCAGAACCTCAAAGGAGGGAAAGAGAAATTCACGGAATAAAACTCCCATATAAAATAAGGAATCCAGGCAAATAAAACCACCAAACTTTATATGGCACACAGAATCTAATGCTTCTGGACAAACGCAGTCCAACTTTACGATTAGGCAAAGCAAGGTAATGGACTTATGAATAAATTTTGATATCACTGAAGAGATAGCAAACAATCTCTTGCTTCATTTACATCCCACTGCAAATTCTTCTCAGTCTCTTAATTACCCCTCCTTTGCAATGAAAATATTGTGAAGAAATGCAGCCAATATAATAATTGAAAGAGCAAAAGAGACAATTGGAATGCAACTAAGTATTGGAGAAACATTTAACTGGAAACATATTCTTAGACTTGTAGTTTTGAGAAGCATTTGTGTATATAAGTAGTCCTCGATTTACGACCGCAATTGAGCTCAACATTTCTGTTGTCAAGTGAGACATTTGCCAAGTGAGTTTTGCCCCATTTTACGATCTTTCTTGCCACAATTGTTAAGTGAATCACTGCAGTTGATAAGTTAGTAACCCAGTTGTTAAGTGAATCGGGCTTCCCCATTGACTTTGCTTGGCAAAAGGTTGTGAAAGCGGATCACATGACCTTGGGATACAGTAATGGTCATAAGTATGAACCAGTTGCCAAGCATCTGAATTTTGATCATGGGGTTATAACTTTGAAAAATGGTCATAAGTCACTTTTTCCAGTGCCGTTGTAGCTGAACAGTCACTAAATTAACTGTTATAAGTTGAGGAGTATATACAGTACTTCAAAAATTGGTCACAGTCTCTTAATATGTATTTTAGATCAATTATTGGATTAAAAAAATTCCTTTAAAGCTTTGCTGTGATTGTTGTTTCAATGCATATGACTTCGGGCCACATTCCAATGTCATAATGAACAATGATTATAATAAATCAGTTACCACAATTTGCTCTCCTTGTGTCTGCGTGGGGCTACGCAGAACAGTTAGAATATTTCTGCTTCCATTTTTTGACAAACTATGGCTTGTCAGGTTTGGAAAGTATTAATGGCTATTATCAGAGTGGAAGGTTTGGATCCCTTGCTTGCAATCAGATTAGAGTAATATGCAAACCCAGCCTGGAGAAGACCACAATAAATCAAGGTTTATTGCAATATTTGAATGCAACTTTCTGAATACAGGTGTCAAAGCTGAAATAATCTCTCTGGAGTGAAATGCAAAGATGTAATATTTATCATTATTTATTATTTCTAGGACACGGTATTAACTTGGTTTAATCTCCTCAAAAAAGACATGTTCGGTTTCAGAGGAGGATCACCATACAAATTCTGTTGTAGACATACCATAAACAGAGATGCCTCCCAGAATGACCCAAGCTGACCACTCTGGCAGGTACTTAATGAAAACTAGAGCCATCAAGGCGCTGATCATAATGAGATAGGCTTGCTGAAGTTTCAAAGGTCCCTTCCAGTGGATGCAGATCATCCCAACAGCTCCAAAATTCCAGATGACAAAGAACAGGGTAGGGTAATCCATAGCCACATTGTAAGTCTTGAGTACTTCGCTGTCAAACAAAAAAACAAAACAAAACAAAAAGTAGTTCACTGCCATGATGTAGTAACTGTGAAATTAACAGCATAAGGTGATGCTGCACTATTTCAGAGAGAGGAAGAACAGGGAAGTTGCAGGTGTATGACCAAAATCATGTGCTGTATAACTGAGCTCATGGGATCAAATTAGGATACAAATACCTGATCTCATGTCACATTATGTGTCCATCTAGCCAAGCAGACACTAATCTAATCACAGCTCTTTGGGGATCAGCATATTTTCCCCCAACAAATTATTATGTGATTTCAAAGAGAAGAGAACAAACCATGTTAGAGATATTCTACAACTACTTAACCAATAAGCCATCATCCCCTCTACAGGTCCCTTGGAATTGGCTGGGAAAACTGATATTTTAATTCAGAATACAAAATACATATGGACCAACTAGATTAGGAAGGGGATATTACACATCGCCCAATAACTGCCTAACTCAATCTAATTTTAAAAGTAACAAACAAAAGTAAGAGCCATCTAGTCTTGTCTATCATAAATGTACTTCAAATGCTACCTGAGATTTTGCTAATGCAGCCAACCTAGGTTCCACACAATTATACAAATGCCGTCTAATGATCTGGCATAGCTAGTAAGCTAGTAAGACTATAAGAAATATGAGAATGAAAGCAAAGCTCCAACAGGCTCCCCTTCTTTAACTACATAAAGATCCTCATTATTTAAGAATGAACATTCTTCTTTAAGGAACTTGCTTTTTTCTTCTTCCCTGTTCATGCTATTCTCTTTTTGTGTCGCGTTGTTTCATCTTTTTTCGCTGATCATATACGTTTTTCTGTTATTCTTCAAAAATCCAAATCTAAATGCAAATCATTTAGCAATCCCAAATCATTTAGCAATCCCTACACTAAGCTGTGTCTATCCTTGTTTAAAGAATACTAAGTGGTTTAGAATTCACAGTTCTCACTTACCCAAGGTAGATGTAAGTGAAGAGAAACAAAAGCATCAGCGATGAGAGTATCAGCCACCCATGAATGAACTGCAAAAGATGACAATATGCTATTTAGGTGTCTTTTTTGCACATTCCAAAGATAACTGCATTGACCTGATTTTGCTATAGACCCGATTTTGCTACATTGACCTGATTTTGCTATGATTTCACTTCATAGCTAATGGAAGCCTTCCCAGCACATGATAGCATACCTGGAGAGAGGGAAAGGCTGCCTTAGGAAGACAAAGAAGAATAAAGAAGACCTCTAACTCTAAATAAAAGTCAAAAAATTCATAGGAACTTAGAAAAAAAAGTTTTTACTGTAAAATGCTGCAAGTTTCTCAGAGAAAAATTACTTCCGAGAGATCAGGTACTTCTATGCAACTCTGACAAGAGTAAAAAGCTTGATTTCACCCTTCATTTATTTTGCCACCTAATCATCTTTAAAGTTTCCCTGAGGCTTGTCAAACAGTCCCCCGTCCCAAATGTCCAGTACATTTTCCTTCTCCTGCCCCTCTCTAAAACTTCTGTTTTTCTAATATTCTCTGATCACGACATCAGGCTCTTATTTAATTAGCCTTCTACTTCCCTTTTAAAATCTCATTATATAAATAGACTATATAGCCATTCAAAAGCCTGCAAGAAACATGAGGATACTAAGTTTTGAATTTATCACCAGTAGTAATTTATAAGTATTCCCTAAATATTAGGCTAGCCTTCTCTAACATTGTGCCCTCCAGATGTGCTGGTCTGCTATACTCATAACTCTCAATCAGTTGGCTGTATTGCTGATACAGGAAAAAGGTAAAGGTTTCCCCTGTCCAGTCATTTCCAACTCTAGGTGGAGATTGCTCATTTCTGTTTCCTAGTTGAGGGAGCCAGTGTTGTCCTAAGATGTTTCCGTGATCATGTGGCCAGCTTGACTACATGTCAAGTTTCTTGAAACGCTGTTACCTTCCCAATAAAGTGTACCTATTTATCTACTTGCATTCGCATGCTTTCAAACTGCTAGGTTGGCAGGTGCTGGGGCAAGAACAGGAGCTCACCCCATCATGCAGTACTTGTGTCTTGAACTGCCAACCTTCCAGTTGACAAGCCCAGCATCTTAACCGCTAGGTCACTGCGCCCCCTATGTATTGATGATAAATGGTGGGAAATATAATTTCGACATATTCCGGCAGCAGGCTGGAGATGTTTTTATTGTGTTAAAAACTTCCCCTCTAGAAGAATTCATTTTTTGATTGAATGCATTATCAGCAATGCAGATCTGTTTAAGAATGCAATTGCATGACTCAACACTTTTCAACCTATTTTGGAATGAACGATGCCTTATTTTGCCTGTAGAATCACTCTTAAAACAACATATTGAACATATAGAGGAGAAGAACCCCTTACAAATTTTAATGTGTCAAGATAAACCTATAGAAAGATCTTACTTGTTTACCAACAGTTTCAATAATTTAAAATATCAAAAAATAATACTGAGGTTCTTCTAAATCCTGCAAAATTCTTTAAGATATTATTTTTCTGCAGTCAACATTTTTAAAAAGATGTGACAATATCACTTCTGAATGTTCCCAATCCATCAAAAAATGCAGATTAATTGCCTAAAACGATGTGGCAAATGCATACCATAAGAATCACTGAGGATCATGCCTAAAGAATGCCTATCACCATGGAGTGAAAGTATCTGATAGAATTAAATAAAAGGCTTTTATAATTTGAGACCCTTCACTAACATATTCAAAGCCTTGCCTTATAGCAACGATATTTGTACAGCAAAACCAAAAAGACGGTCATCACTAGAATAACACTGATCATGATGATGGTATTCAACACAGAGCTCAAGAGACGCTGGCCCACATAGGGGGTATCTTCACTGAAGGGGGTATAAATCCTGAAAGAAAAGGCAAAATATCTATCAAGACAAAATCCAATCCCTCCAAAATATATGTATTACAGAATGTTTTAGCTCAAATACAGAGGCAATAGAAATAAAATACATTTATAAAACAAGCAATGTAGCTTTTGAATTTACCATATCTTTAGTTACAGTATCATCCCCCAATCAAGGTATGCTGGATTTCCACTCATTAATTTCCACCCAGTATGGCCAGAACACCAAAACATCTGAATGATTCCAGGTTGGAAAAAATTGAGCAACTTGTTATGCACAAAAGATTGTGGAAATATCATTGAAGTACAGGAATTTTCAACTTGTGAAATCCAGTGCTGTTTGTATTTGTATATATATGATTTCATGTGGACTTACAACAATACAGAATGCATTAAAAAATTAAGAACCTTTTAAAACTTGACTCCTGGATTTCCTCATGCTTTATCACAAATTTACTATTTCCACTTGGGAATTATGGGAGTTTGCAATCCAAACACCCCTGGAAGAAACTAAATAATAGGAAATAATCTTAATGTAAATAATTTATTTTATTTATTTATTAAATTTATATACCGCCCTATCTCCCTTACGGGACTCAGGGCGGTGAACAGGCGATACTAAAAACCACAATAATAAATAAATAGTTTCTGTTCTAAAATCAAATTAATGCATTCATTGTCTATGGAGATTCCCATAGCTGTCTCAAAAGTGCTTTTTCAAGACGTTTTTCTTTGGCGACGTTTCACTTCTCATCCAAGCAGCTTCTTCTTCCTCAGAACTGAAGAAGCTTCATGGATAAGAAGCAAAACGTCTTCAAAGAAAAACAAAGAAAGTCCAGTTGCCTCTTGAAAAAGCACTTTTGGTACAATGCATTCATTGTTTTAAAGTCTGTGAAGAATCACTTACAGTTGCCCATTCTTCTCAGTGTAGAAACGGACTGATTTAATGGTTGCAACAACTACGACCATGCACAATGTTACAGGCACAAACAGCATGATCACATGCTTTGCTCCATATTTTAAGGTCAACTCTTCCTCCTCATTATCCAGCACAATATGTCCTTTTGCTGTTCTTTCTGGGTCAGGCCCGTTTTCCTCTGTTTTATTAGAACTGCCAGTGCTGCCAGTACGTCTATTCTGCAATAACAATAAACAGAAAGAGTTAGCAACTGTTGTGCAGATCTACCTTCCCAGCAGAGTTCTTCCTGAACTGCTTAATGCCTTCAAAACCTCTTGCCAAAAGTGGTCATTTCAGACATCTAAAAACTGAGGAGACAAAAATATTGTAGGGAACTTGAGTAATAAAAGAGTCCAAAGTCCAGGAAGTTGCCATTTCCAGAGGCTAAGGAACATGCCCAGCAACCATAATGCCTCAGTTGACACAATGTGACAGAAGAATGCACAAAATAATCCAGTTCAATATTACCTTCTTTCCTTCCTTGCCTGAGAAAAAATGGCTGGCCCAAGGCCACCATGCTGGCTTTGTGCCTAAGGCAGGACTAGAACTCATGGTCTCTTAACCATATCAACTGGCTATAAACTTTATAGATTCTATGTAGTAACTCTACCTCTATACATTCTGTATAATTACTATAGACTCTTGTTTTTAAAATTTATGAGAGAAGTTGGCATATTTTAGCAGTTAGTAAGGTTAATCATGTAATTGTGAGGACCCATATTGTATTTTCAGAAATTGATTATAGGGATAAAGGATGGGGAAAGAAGGTAGTATTGAACTGGATTACTTTGTGCATTCTTCTGTCACATTGTGTCAACTGAGGCATTATGGTTGCTGGGCATGTTCCTTAGCCTCTGGAAACTTTGAGAAGAAAATTGAAGGAAAATTAACAAGAAAAGTCCAGGCAATTTCAAAGAATCAGACACAACTGAATGAAAGAGAAAAAAGAGAACACAATCAAAAGCACACAGATATGCTCAGTGACACCATAATCTTCATTTGTGCAGTCTGGCCATGTGAGGCTATGGTAAGAGGGAGGCTCTTTGATTTCTCAGCCACTGGCTGACCTTTAAAAATTAAGGTGTCGTCCTGGTGTGAGAAGGTGGCTGAGGCTCAAATACTTTAACACAGCCAGTCCAGTGCTTTGGATGTCAACTGCATACTCCCAAGCAAGGATATTAATAGTCCTACTTGGTTAGTACATAGTCCAATACATCTGTGATGGGGAAACAGTGGGAAACTACCCTAATGTACTTGAACATATGAAACTGCCCTTTCTAGCCTTTTGAAAGATACAAAAGAAGGACTCACAGAAAATGAATTCACACAGAGAACAGGATCACCATTATATACTATAACTGGATGCTATTCAGAGAAAGGAACAGAATTGTTTTCTATTAGTGCGTGGAAGGCAAATCTGATTCTAACTAAATTTAGAAGTTCCCTAATAATACGGTTCAGCATTAGAACTGCCTTGGTATATAGTGAGTTCTCCTTTGCTTGTGTTATTTAGGTAGAGATTGAATAGCCATCAGTCAAGAGCATTGTAATAGGTACTGCACTGTGCAGGAAGTGATGTACATTAGGGACCTTTTTCAGGGTTCAGACAAAACCTGATTTAATTTAAATGCAATTAAAAACTAATTTTCATTCAGAAAATACAATGAATACCAGTATCTCACATGGTACATATTAATGATTTTAGACTCTTTCCATCCTAAAGATTGAACAATAACTTTGAGAGAGAGTCTAGTCCTAAGGTGACTAAATGATTTCTACAATACCTGCCAATTCTAAGCAAAGCAGCACATTCTTTTCCAAAGACTCCTACCCTGTGGGAAAGTGTTTCTGCAGCTTCAGATGGTTGTGCTCCAGCATGATAAGAAGGTAGAAGGGGGCTTTCAGCTGTCATCAACGATGTCCTTTCATTGCAGGGTTCCTCTTCACTGTCAGAATTGTTCATAAAGGCGATCATGCTTCCTTCTTCATGGAGAATCTTAATCACACCCCAGACACTGTAGAAATAAGTAATGTAGAAGAGTAAAAGCAAAACAGACTGCCCAGAATAATTACAAAATTAAAGAGCCTTTAACAAGGTAGTTGATAGCTTCTAAAACTGGTGGTTTTTTTCTGCAATAACCAGTATTCCAGAACTATTAAGAATCTTTCACATTCATTTATAAAATTGACTTTTTTTCTTTGCATGCTATGGTGTGTGATTTTTTTTATTATAAAAAATGTATTGGAATTCAATTTTTAAAAGGCTAACACTTTTTTCTAGGGCTCTCAAAAGCAGTATCTTCTAGCTGACTTAGCTTACATTTTGGGTAATCCCAGCCACTTATTTAATTGCCACTAAATTTGAAGAGCATCAGATTGGGAAAGGCTACTGTTATATCCAATTGTACCCAAGAGAGAAATAGGTTTAAATGCTTTACGTTACCAATAACAGATCCTTATCATCTAGTTGTCTTGTCACAGTCTTCCCCACAAAAGTGAAAGATGCAATGTATTTCTTTTTTCAACTGTACTACAAAAACTCACCTGTTTTGTTTGTAACCTTCAATTGGGCAAAATGGTAAGTCGTAGGGCAACAAATTTTGAATCAACATTCCTCAAATAGGCTAACCTAAAGAATGCATCCAACGTCCAGGATCCATTACTCCCTTGGGATTGAAATTTGGCAAAGTTATGGCCATTTTAACCCTGTTGCACTTAGCCACAGTGACCATTTCTAATGCTCCCTGCCAGTTTCCCACAAAGATAATCAATGGGAAAGATGGCAGGAAATCAAAAGCTGCTACTGCTCCCACTGCTTTTCTGCATGATCATTTGGTTTCTCTGTTTAGGTACAGAAATATCTCTGAAACGACGATCCAACGGTTCATGAGTTTTCTAGTTACTTCTAAATACAAATGAGTATACTGCATGCACAGTTCATGCAAAATTCCATTCTTTTACGACATTCTTTTCATGGTGCATTTTCCCTTTCCCCTTCTGAGTTACTTTATGTGAAAGTTATAAACCATGGTTAGGATGAATGATACATATTAACATATTAACTGAGCCGTGGTGGTACAGTGGTTAGAATGCAGTACTGCAGGCTAACTCGTTGCTCACTCCAGGTATTCAATTCTGAACGGCTCAAGGTTGACTCAGTCTTTCAACCTTCTGAGGTCGGTAAAATAAGGACCCAGATTGTTGGGGGAAATATGCTGACTCTGTAAACCACTTAGAGAGGGCTGTAAAGCACTATGAAGTGGTATATACATCTAAGTCAGTGATGGTGAACCTTTTAGAGACCGAGTGCCCAAACTGCAACCCAAAACCCACTTATGCATCGTCAAGTGCCAGGTGGGTGTGGCTCATTGGGTGGGTGTGTCCCATTGGCTGGGCGTGGCTGTGATGGTAACCGCAGACTGGGTGGGACTAAAAAGTTCAATCAATCAATTCCAACTTTGCAAGATCTTTTTTTTCCCCGCAAGAAGTTGAAATTGACTGATTGATTGAACCTTTTTTTTTTTTGCACAGGGCGGCAGAGGCCTAAAGCGAAAAGATTTTATAAAACCCAGCTGAAGGCCTAGGACTGGGGCAACGGTGCGTGTGCCCACAGAGAGGGCTCTGAGTGCCGCCTCTGGCACCCGTGCCATAGGTTCGCCACCACTGATCGAAGTGCTACTGCTACTGCTATTAATATAAAAACAACCCTCAATTGTGAAGAACAAAGCAGGAAAGAATTAGTATGTATGCAGCTATACAAAACTAGTGGGAAAATATGTTTTTGCTGCTCTTCACTGTCTATAAGTACTGCCAAGATATTGCAATGGAGTTTGAACAGAACAAATGTGCATCAACAAAGGAAAAATAGTGAATACTGAAGGAATAAAGATGCCCTATGGAAATAACATCAAGAGTCTGGATGAAGATTATCACTACAAAGATCTGGGTATTCTTCAAGCTGACAACATCAAGCATATTTAAGTCAAGAAGGTTAAAGTGAATACATCATGAGAGTGAAGAAAATCTTAAAGTCCAAACTCAGTAAAGGAAATACCTTCAAGGCAATTAATACTTGGGTAATTCCAGTCATTACGTACACAGCTGGAACAGTGGCCTGGACTCAAGCAGAACTAAAAGCTCTGACTAGGAAGATCAGGAAAATAATTATAATGAATCATGCCCCTCAGCCTCACAGCAATGATGTCAGACTCTACTTACCAAGGAAAATAGCTGGACATGGAAAGTTGCAAGTACACAGACAGTTGAAAAAGAAAAAAAAGGGCATTGTAAGAATATCTGAGGGACAGTGGGAAAGAGACCAAACTGGCCTACAAGAAAGACCAAATAAAGTCTAGAAAAGAGACATGGCAGGCAAAGTATTACTTGGTCAGTACATACAAAATAGCAGGCAAAGCAAATACCAAAAAGACCTGGCAATGGCTAAGAGCAGGAAAGTTGAAGAAAAGAGACAGAGGGCTAATTTCAGTTACATACAGTAAGACCAACCTTAAAAACAAATGCATATAGAGCCAGAATTGAAAAAACAGGAGGAGACAGCAAATGCCAACTCTGCAAAGAAGGTGAAGAAACAGTGGACCACCTAGTTAGCTGTTGCAAGAAGATTCCACAGACTACCTACAAATAACAATATGATAAAGTAGCAATAATGGTGCATTGGAATATCTGCAAGAAATACCACTAGCACTACTTAAATACTATTGGCATTGATAGAATCATTATCAGTTAATTGCAAAAGGAAATGTTTGCTTGTAATAGCTTACATTCTACGACAATTTATTTATTTATTTATTTATTTATTTATTTTTATTAAATTTATATCCCGCCCTTCTCCTTGCGGACTCAGGGCGGCTGACAATCGATTAAAAATACACAAATGACAATTACAGGATTAAAATTAATTAAAAGGAAATATTTAAATATAGTCTAATTAAAATATAATTAAAACCCCCTCTAAAAATTACCCTAGGCCAGTCCTGCAAGCTGGAATAACCAAGTCTTAA